CTTTCTTTCTTTCTTTCTTTCTTTCTTTCTTTCTTTCTTTCTTTCTTTCTTTCTTTCTTTCTTTCTTTCTTTCTTTCTTCAGTCTCAATGAGGCCTCTTCTTTATGTTCTTAGTTATAGGGGTTCTGTTCCACTAGTTTTCAGATGATTGTTGAGGTTGATTGCTCTATAATTTAGTTGTAATTTTGGTGTGATCCTGGGATGCAGTAGGCATAGCATTTACCTAATCTGCCATCTGACCTTTGCTTTTCATGCCCTTGTTTTTTTATTGCCATCTCTGGGTTCTTTCATTACTTTTGATCCCTTCTAAGTGAGCCTAGTCAAAGGGAGGCAAACTATAAAAGTGAAATCAGAAAATTATTTTGGTATTTGAGGGAAGAGAAGCAAAACCCAATAGTGAAAAGCAAGCTAATAGGGCCAAAAGACATCTTATTTCTTTACCTACACACTTCTCTTTGCATAAAATGATTAATACAATCCATGTAAAAAGACATCAACTATAGAATCGGTCAGCCAGTTTTGGAAAAAAGTGGATATTAAAATAGACTACCTTTGCTTTCCATGGGTGTACGCCTCCGAGTAAGCATCATTAAAGCCTCCCTCCGGTGGTCCTCACATTTAAGTCAGAGTCTCCCGAAGAGCCTGAACAGCTGCAGAAGCCCTTCATCAGAGGTTTGAGCTTTGAAACAACCGATGAGTCTGAGGAGCCTTTTTCAGCAATGGGGAACGCTCACAAACTGTGTGGTGATGAGAACCCCAAACACCAAGCGCTCCACAGGCTTTGGGTGTGTCACCTGTGCCACGTGGAGGAGGTGGGTGCAGCCATGAATGCAAGGCCACACAAGGTAGACGGAAGTTGTGGAACCAAAGAGGGCTGTCTCAAGAGAAGATGCTCAAAGACCTGGTGCCCACTTCACTGTGAAAACGATTTTTGCTGGTGATATTAAAGAAGACACTGAAGCACATCACCTAAGAGATGATTTTGAACAGTGTGGGAACAGTGAAGTGACTGAAATCATGACTGACAGAGGCGGTGGCAAGAAGAGAGGCTTTGCTTTTGTAACCTTTGATGACCATGACTCTGTAGACAAGACTGCCATTCAGGAATACCACACTGTGAATGCCACAACTGTCACATAAGGAAAGCCCTGTCGAAGCAAGAGATGGCTAGTGCCTCATCCAGCTAAAGAGGTTGAAGTAGTTCTGGAAACTTCAGTGGTTGTCAAGGAGGTGGTTTTGGTGGGAATGACAACTTCGGTCGTGGAGGAAACTTCAGTGGTCAAGGTGGCTTTGGTGGCAGTCGTGGTGGAAGAGGATTTGGTGGCAGTGGGGAGGGCTATAATGCATTTGGTAATGATGGAAGCAATATTGGAGGTGGCGGAAGCTACAACGATTTTGGCAATTACAACAATCAGTCTTCAAATTTTGGAACCTGGAAAGAAGGAAACTTTGGAGGCAGAGGTTCTGGCCCCTATATTGGTGCAGGCCAATACTTTGCCAAACCATGAAACCACGGAGGCTATGGCGGTTCCTGCAGCAGCAGCAGCAGCTATGGCAGTGGCAGAAGGTTTTAATTACTTCCAGGAAACAAAGCTTACTTAGCAGGAGAGGAGAGCCAGATATGTGACAGGGAAGCCACAGGTTACAACAGACTTGTGAACTCAGCCAAGCACAGTGGTGGCAGGGCCTGGCTGCTACAAAGAAGACGGGTTTTAGACAGTACTCATGTGGATGGGCAAAAAACCTCAAGAACTGTATTTGTGACTAATTGTATAACAGGCATTTTAGTTTCTGTTCTGTGAAAAGTGTAAAGTATTCTAACAAAGGATTTTAATGTAGATTTTTTTTTTGCAACCATGCTGTTGATTGCTAAATGTAATAGTCTGATCATGACACTGAATAAATGTGTCTTTAAAAAAAAAAGTAGGGCCGGCCGAGTGGTGCGTTGGTTGGGAGCTGGCTTGGGATGCCAGAGGGCCCTGGTTCGGATCCCACATATGAGGCCAGTGACACTACGCCCTCTACAGCTAAGATGCTGAACAACAGCTCAACCTGGAGCTGGGTTGCCGTGAGTCACTGGAGATGGCGTAGGCTGCAGCCCCTGCTGCAGTGGGTTGCCATGGGCTACCGTGTGTAGCCAGCAGCCAGCGTGAGCGGCCCTCAAGCCACTGTGAGCAGCTGTCCAGAAGCCGGCGACTGATCTGCCTCGCCTGGAAACAGCACAATGATGGTGCCAACTTGGGCCAGTGAAGCAACGTCCTCCACAACTAGACTGAAGAACAAAACGACAGCAACTTGTCTGTTCCCCTTCCCCCAATTCCCCAATAAAAATCTTTTTTTAAAAAAAAGTAGACTACCTTTATTTAAGCAGCCAGAATTGTAGTTTTGGTGAGACTCTGGAGCATGGGCCAGGCTCTGCCCTTCCTTTGATGTGATATAACATTAATATGCGCTGCTGACTTTTTTTGTTTGTTTCCCAGTTTGACATCTACAACAAGATCAAGTTCTGATGCTCTGCAGGGACGATATGCAGCTCCGGAACAGGAAGTAAGTTCATTTCTTTCTTGTCCTGCTTCATCTCAGAAGACCCATTTTTCAGGAAAGCTTTTTATGTTTCTCAGCATTTTTATCAATATGCATTTCCTGATCCCATTTTTCTTCTGGAATGAATACAATTTTTGTACAGAAAAAGAAATGCACTGTGTATACTATGGACTTAAAATGAATCCTTGATTTTCCTCCAACAAAATTGGCCTCTTGTGTGGCATCTTTCTGCCTACCTCTGCACCAGAGGCCCGGGTGGCTTTGTCAGGCTGCTCTTTGCTCTTTTCCTTTGTCATAGTGGAGTGTGTGTGTGAGAGAGAGAGAGAGCGAGAAAGAGAGAGACTGACTGATTTCTGGTCCATTCCTCTATTTTACACCTATCTGTCCTCCATGCATAGTGTGACCATGAGGTTATGTAATAGCTGCTCTGAAGGCGGGAAGATGGAGAAGGGAAGGAACCAGCACCTACTTTGGCCACACTGCTGAGTAGTGCCTGTAATTACTTTTTTAAGTGAATCGGTTCCATCAAGTGGGCATTTCATTGGGTAAAGAATTGTGAACAGTAGGAGCCCAAAGAATTGTGGTGGTTGGCAGATGCCTGTAGGTCAGCAGAATGCTTATTACTTGTGTAAAAGTCTTTCTGGGGCCCTCAGTGGAACGTCTCCCAAGGTCTAAAAGGGTCTAAGCAGATGGAGGCAGCCAGCAGGAGACTCCAGGAATGGAAAGAATGGAAGGTGCCAGTGATGGTGAAGACTTCACAGCGCCTGCTGTGTCCCAGGCACTGTTACAGGTGCATCATGTATCATTTCATGTCATCTTCCTAAAAATCCATTGAGGTTTTTCTCTCCATTTGCAGAGGGGTTAAAACAGAAAAAGTCATTTAAACTTTTGATTTGCCAGCCTGTAAAACGTGCACTCTGGCTCCAGAGCCTGTGTTTCCAGCTTACTGCTGCCCAAAAGCTTAGCTGCTGTCTCCTGGCCCTGCTGGTGACCCTGCCTGGCATCCGGCCCTGGCTGCATCCTAATAGCTTTCCCTGGATAGAAGAGCCCTGGTATCTGATGGGCGCTTTATTCTGCGGCTGGGTCTCTGGGGATGGTCTTTCCTCCACCTGACCTGAAGAGAGGGAACTATTATGAAGGGTTGTCAATCTGCCAGCATCGTTCACCAGCTCTTTCTGTCACTTAAAAAATGAGAAAACTGTGCTGAGTCTGACTATGTTACTGCCTATTATACAGAAGAGAATGGTCTCTAGAAGGCAGGCGTTTGTTCTCCCCACCAACTGGGTAACCACCTGCTGAGGTGGTACCATTATGGTTTCAATATCCTTATTGTGTACAGAGTTAAAGTGCAAAGAACAGCAAGTCTCTAAGTTAGATTTAAGAGCGGATGTTTTTCTTCCCATTCCAAGGAAAAAGTCTCCGTGTTTATTTCTGAAGTGGGGATCATGCTGGATGGACGTTGGTTTGCTCTCCTTGGATCACGTTTCACAGGATCCACCTTTGAAAGAGTTCGTAGTGGTAACTTAGGCTTCAAAAGAACTAGGACCCCAGCCTACCAGGCCTGGGGCCCACTGAAGAATGAGTGAATCTTAGACTGTCACGTGATCCAAGATTCTGTCAAGGTCAATCCCTCCATTACAAGAACCCTTTGATGCAGGAGGGAAGCAAGGACGTGGCCTTGAGGCATATGAATGGCACAGAAGCACAGGCTCCCATGTCCTTGTCCCGGCGCTCTCTGTTCTTTGTAGTAAAAATAGCAGCCAGAAAGGGCCAAGGGCCCAGCACTTCCCAGACTGTCTGGGTACACGTAGTGTTTCTTTATTATTTTATTTATTTATTTATTTTTTAGCTGAGCCATCCTGCCACCTGTTAGCAGCTCAGCGGCAGCTCAGCTCAGGCCGTGAATGGAACCGGCGACCCTGTTGCTCAGAGCTCACACTCTTGAGCGAGCTCTTAACCAACTGAGCCACTCGGCCGGCCTTATATGTAGTGTTTCTTCTTTGTTTACCAGAGTCCTTCTGGAATCATGTTTTTTACAGCTTGGTATTTTTTAAATGAAGTTTGGTTTGAGTCGGTCAGAAATATGGTAGGAAATCTGAAAGTTACCAAACACCGTTCAAAGGAAAGCATCCCACCCATCCCTGTTCCCGGCACCCCGGCCTCCGTAGAGGCAGCCAGTTCAGCAGCCTGACTTTAAAAGGAAATGTGGGTAGGCCTCCTGCTTATCCCTTAGCTTTACCATTTCTGATTCCGTTGGCTCTACCGTCTCCCAGATATCACATACCACCTCTTCTTGTAAATCACAGACCTTGGTGTTCCCATCCTGCATTCATTTCCCAGCCCTGTCACTAAATTAATTGTGTAACTTCAGGTCAGTAATTTAACCTGCCAGGCCTCAGTTTCCTCACTGTAAACAGGATAATAATCCCTGCCTCACAGGTTGGAGAAGATGTACTAATGAAGTGGCAATTTAGAGCAGAACACCAGGAGTAGGCTCCAGGAGAGCGGTGACCTTGTCTTACTCACTTTGTGTTTCGGGTTGAGTTTTCCAGAAGCTGTCCAGGCAAGAGTTTGATGTGCAGGCTATTTATTAGAGATCAACATAAGTGGAAAGAGAGGGGGCAGAATTGGGCAGAGGGTGACATCAAAGGGCACAGCAGGCTGGACAGATCTCTGCTGACCCCAAGCATGAGTTTTCCAGGGCAGACACGACCCATCAGAACTATCCCGCCTCCCACCCCGCCCCCCACTCCCCCCACCCTGGGGCTGCTCCTCTGGTTGCTCATTTCCACGTCCATTGTATTTCCTGTCACCAGCGTCCAGAGCATCTGGGAAGATCCGATGCTTAGTCGAAACCTGAAGGCACCAAGTGTGCAGTTCAGGGCCTGGGATGTAATTCAGATGGGGAAGGCTTGGCACTCAGGTGGCCTTTAGTGCTTTACTGATGTGCAGAGAAAAGCAGAAAGCAAGTCGCCTGACTGTTGGTTTTGCTCTCCCAGGTCGCTCGGTGTTGCTTTTGCTTCAGTCCCTATGGAGAGGGTAAGTAGAGAACTTTCCTTCTGTGTTCCTGTGTGTGACCCTGCAGGCTGTTAGCTCTAGTCTGTAGGCATTTGGGATTCGGGTACAAATAACTTGAATGGTAGAGGGGCAACTTTTATTATGAAGCCAGTTTACTGTTTATGTCATTTTCACATTCTTTCCAAAGGGTTGGTGGGTTTTGTTTGTGTGTGTTGGTATTGTGGCAAGTGAGAAATTAGTCTAGTATTTTGATTCATATTTAAGTTAAGTTATACAGTGAGATTTAGGGAAGCAGAAAGTACATTTTTTTTAAAGGAATGGAAAAAAGGAAAATACCCAGAGGTCCCGACATCTCGTTTTGGACCATTTTCCCTTCAACTTAATTTTCTCCTTGGATTGGAGGATCCCAGGGGCTTGAGAACTCCTGATTTACTCTCTTTCACTTTCTTCAGAGCTTATAATAAGTTTTGTGTTTTCAAGGGCTCTCTGCTACTCTGTTAAAATAAATGGGATGTTAGGTAACTCATCCTATTAAGGAGGGTTCTGGGGTGGGGTGGGGGCTTTGTGTTTATGGCACAGATGAAAAATGCCTGAGTGTACAAATGGCTTTTTGACATCTTTCCTACTCATTAGCCCCTGAGATTGGCATGAGTAAGTGTGTCTCTGCTAAAATGGTAAGTGTGCATGTGTTCACTCATTGAGCTTGTCCTGGCTTTGTGGTTCACAGACACTGAAGAGCAGAAGAATATGAAAGAGGGACCGGGGGTTATTTATGACGAGAAGAGAGGCACCGTCTATAGCTATTCCTATTTCCACTTCGTATTCTTGTTGGCTTCCCTTTATGTGATGATGACCGTCACCTGCTGGTTCAAGTGAGTGGCTCATTTTCTTAGCCATTGTAGAAGGGGCAGTCTTTCAAAAAGCAAGTTGAGTCCTAGTCTTCAAAGTGCTGAAGCACAGATCAGATCTCCTGGAGTCAACTGAACTCTTCAAGTCAAGCTGTCCTTACCTTTACAGAAACAGCTCTGAGTTCCTAACAGTCAAACGCATGCTTTTAACCTTGGAAGTTGCTGATGCTTACTGCAGCTTTTAAAAAATGAAGCTTAACTGCATATGGACAGTCTTGAAGAACATAGTAATAGTAATGGAAGAAGCACTTGGAATT